ATATACATATATACATAAACGGCCGCACAAGAGGCATCATAGTACTCTTGGGCAAAAGTATAAATACAGCCTTGATAAACTCAATAAAACATTGTTCTTACAATAGGAATACATGTCACTCAGCATAATATTCTTCGAGCACTGAGCCTCTATCGAGCGAGCGCCCTCAAGAACTTCTTCAAAGTAGTGCTTGGCAGCTACTCGGCCTATGGCTGAACCCTGTGCCGCAACAGTGGTGGCATCCATCTCCGCCCAGTATGTTTTGACATGGGCAAGGGCCATCCGCGAGCCTTCTGTGCATGCCGACCTCTTTACAGCATCGATGCGTGGCACAGTGCCAAGGAATTGTTGCACTAAGCTAAAATAGCTATTTGGCCTTGGCCCTCCTGGTCACAAATGATCCACAACGGACCTCATGGCTAGTCCGGACAACCTATGGAGCTCGGTCCAACCGGTCAATCGCTCATTCAGCAGCAGTGGACGGACTGGAGCGTGAAACTGTGACCAGAACAGCTTCTCCACTTCGGGACCTTTCTGGTCCTTGAAGTACTCGGCGGCATCAGCAGCGCTGGCAGCCAAATCCATGTACGCGTCTGCAGAACTCCATAGCCGGTCCAGAGGAGCATACTTCGGATCTCCGAACTTAGTCTGCAACAAGAAGGGCTTCCCAGAAATGATATCTGCAGCTTGATTCAGCTCCTCCTTCGTCGCTCTAATTTTGGAGCGAGCTTCCTTGGCAGCCACCCGGGCCTTCTCCAGGTCCGTCGCCTTCGCCCGGTTTTCCTCTTCAAGAATCCGGTAACGGTCAGCAGCATCTTTTATCTCCACGGCCATCTTGGCAAATTTTTCTTTGCTCTCGCAATGTGCAGCCTGTTCAACCCTTAACTCTTCGGCCGCTTGCAAAGCGGCTGCATTGCTACTCCTTGCTTGCTCCTTGGCTCAGGCAAGCTCCGCCCGAAGGGTCTCCACGGTGGCCGCTCCATCTGCAGTCACAACATATTAAAGATAATTGCATCATGCTGCTCTTATTATGTGATGATCACCAGAAAGGCCACTCACCCTGTGCCTCGTCAAGCCGCTTGTTGACAAGCACGATGTCGGCATCTGCCGCATCCAGCTGCCGCTTTAGTTCGGCATACCCATCAGTCCGGCTAGCCACCGGAGCTTCCACCACCTGCACATAAAGGCAGACTGGTTATTACCTGGGACTATGATCCTCTGTTTGTCGCCGTTTTCGACGACAACTAGAGTCTCAGGGGCTACTATCTACATAGGGCACATTTTAAAATGTGCGGTATCATCAAAAATGTACATCATTTCACGTACCTCAAAACCCGTCAGTAGACTCATAAAAGTTTCATGCAACCCGCTTTCGGCAGACGTACTCCTTTCAATCACTGTACCCATCAAGGTGCGATGCTCTTCTGAGATAGCCGCTTGCACCAGCAAATCCCTCCGTATGTCCGACCGCACACCAGACGGTGCCGGACTCTTTTGATGACTCTCTCCGAGAGCCAGATGCTGAGGACTTTGGGTGGCCATGAGATTACCTTCTGGCCTTGCCGGATCCGGAGAAACCCTCCGCGACGACACCTCGGGGGCGCCCGCTTCATGAGGCGGTGTGGCAGGGGGAGGCGTTTCGCTCTCCATCATCTCCGGAAGAATATCCCCCGAAGACGAGCTCTGCTGAGAAGGGCTAAGATCCAAACTGCAAGATAAATACTTCGGTTATTTTCCTCAAAAGTAGAGCAAGATATCTTCACTATTAAGTACTTTTTGATTACTTACAGCTCGGTAGAGGGCTGATCCCCGCGCGGACATTGTGCGGCAAAAATACCCTCCGAGGCAGGACCCTCTGGCGGAGATTTCTTCTCCTGTTTGGAAACCTTAGTTTCCGGATCTTCAGAGGTAGTCCTCTTCCTTCCCCGAGGAGAGAGAATGTCAGATTCTTCCCCTTGGTTATCCTCCCTCGTGGAGGCGCTCATTCCCTCGATTGGAATAGGTAGCGATGGAAGCCCGCTTTTGCCCTCTTTATTCCCCCCTTCGTCTTCCTTGGAGGGCACCAGACAAGGTGCTGGATCGAGCATCTTTTCCAGCACCGGATTGTCCAAGCCTTCAGGAAGGGGGGCCGAACACCGGATCATCTTCGCCTTTATTATCCAGTCCTGGTCAAAGAGCGATTTTTCAGAATGATGTCATGATAAATAAAAGGATAGTGTGTTCGGCCATGGGATTACTTACTTGGGCAGCGGGGCGGTTGCAGTTTAGGCCCACGTCCTCGGTAGTGTCCGGACACTCTATTTGGGGTCCGAAGAACTATTTGTACATCTCCTCGTACGTCTAGCCGAGGAAATTCTGAATAGTGCACGGTCCTTCCGGGTTGAATTCCCACATGCGGAGGGGCCGATGTTTGCAAGGCTGGACTCGACGAACCAGCATAACTTGCATTACCATAACCAGACTGAAATCTCCCTCAAAGAGATCTCGGATACGGCTCTGCAGTATTGGCACGTCCTTGGCTGGACCCCAGCTCAGCCCCCTGCTGATCCATGACATCAGTTGTGGTGGAGGGCCCGAGCGAAAGGTGGGGGCAGCTACCCACTTGGCACTTCGGGGAGCTGTGACGTAGAACCACTCCCGTTGCCACAATCCGGACACCTCTGGAAAGGAACCCTTTGGCCATGGAGCGTCAGCAATTTTGCTTATTAGAGCAACTCCGCACACTGCGTGCTGCCCCTCGACCATCTTCGGCTTCACATCGAAGGTCTTGAGCCACAGGCCGAAGTGAGGGGTAATGCGGAGGAAGGGCTCACAAACGACAATAAATGACGAGATGTGAAGAAGGGAATCCGGGGCCAGATCGTGAAAATCCAGCCTGTAATAGAACATGAGACCCCTAACAAAGGGATCCAGAGCGAGGCCTAGTCCTCGGAGGAAGTGGGAGACGAACACAACGCTCTCGTTGGGTTCGGGAGTAGGGACAACCTGCCCTCGGGCGGGCAGCCTATGCGAAATTTCGGCGGTCAGATATCTGGCCTCCCTCAACTTCTTGATGTCCTCCTCCGTGACAGAAGAAGGCATCCACCGGCCTTGAAGGCTGGATCCGGACATGATTGAAGGTCCGAAGCACCTGACCTGAGCTTTGGATGTTAGAACTCGAGGCGGGGGAAGGAGTCGATTGAGCACGGGAGGGAAAAAAGAAAAAAGCCTCGTCCCTTTATAAAGGGGATGAGTATCAGGCGTCCTCCTCGTGGCCGTTCGAGACTTACATAAGATCTAGGAGTCATACCAACAGGCACGGTTGGGTTACCCACGTTTGTATTGATGAGGATCCCGTAATAAGGGGAACACGATCTCTGCTTTGACAAGACGTGTCAAGAAACCGCCTCGCGTTATGTGCGGGGCTGGTTAAAGAAAAACGGTTCAAATAATTACCGGGCCGTGGCATGATGTCATGCTGCCAAAACGTGTCAGCAGATTAGATTTGTGGAAATATTATTCTCTCTACGGTGGTATGTGAAACTTATTTTGCAGGGTCGGACAATATTCTTGTATTCAAACTCTTCCGTGATGTATTCGGGGGAGGAACCCGCCTTGCAATGTCGAAGACAACACTGCGCGTCGGACTCATCGTTATTGAAGTCTGGTTCAGGGGCTACTGAGGGAGTCCTGGATTAGGAGGTCTCCGGACAGCCGGACTATATCCTTTGGCCGGACTATTGGACTATGAAGATGCAAGATCGAAGACTTCGTCCCGTGTCCGGATGAGACTCTACTTGGCGTGGAAGGCAAGCTAGGCAATACGGATATGCATATCTCCTCCTTTGTAACCGACCTTGTATAACCCTAGCCTCCTCCGGTGTCTATAAACCGGAGGGTTTTAGTCCGTAGGACAACAGACAATCATACCATAGGCTAACTTCTAGGGTTTAGCCTCTTCGATCTCGTGGTAGATCAACTCTTGTACTACTCATATTATCAAGAATAATCAAGTAGGACGTAGGGTTTTTACCTCCATCAAGAAGGCCCGAACATGGATAAAACATCGTGTCCCCTGCCTCCTGTTACCATCCGCCTTAGACGCATAGTTCGGGACCCCCTATCCGAGATCCGCCGGTTTTGACACTGACAGAGAGATAATATTAACGTTGACATTTTTCATCACAGATTGCCTCTCTCTTTTTTTGCGAGGGACAGATTTGTCTCTCTCTCGTGTAGCGCCTCAACTCTTCTAGCCATGACCGATCATCAATGAGTTTAGTGGGTGGCTGACATCAAATTTGCAGCGCATAGCTTCTCTTATGTGGCTTTCAAACATGTTCGTCGGCGCTATAATGTAGCGTCCCATGTCTTACTAAATCTTGTATGAACTCAAGAGCCAGATTTTGTATACTCTTTGCATTGGTGTTGCTTGAAAAAAATAAGATGCCGACGTTCTAAGGCTGGTTATAATGCTAGTATCATAACTATTATCATGCATGTCAACTACTAGACAATTTTGATGAGATGTCACAGAATTAAATGAAGAAAGAGAAGGTTGAGTATCATATCATGATAATAAATGTTATGCTACTATATGTCATGCATGATGATAAATAAAATATTACATGATACTAATATATGATACTATACATTAGGGAGGTATAATATCATGCACTAGTATCATATGCATATGCATGATACGAGTATATGATAATCCCGTTACAACCAGCCTAAAAACACGAAACCAAGAGAGCGAGGGCCCGAGGCCCCCGAAACCTTCCCCTGGTCCCCACGCCCGCGCGAGCGCTACCTCTCTCGCCGCCTGCGCCGCCGCCTTCTCCCCCCAAGCTTCGGCTCCAGCAAGATAGCCCGGCCGATTCTCGCAGCCCCCCAAAAGCCGGCACGCCGACGGCCTTCGTCCTCTAGCGCCGGCGCGTCGCCGCGATCCCCGCCGGCACGGGCGCCTATTCCCCCCTTGCTCCTGCTCCCCGCTCGCGCCGCCGTTGCCGCGCGCCTCCATGAACTTCTCCGACGACTGGCGCTTCCTCTTCCCCGTCTCCTCCGTGTTCAACCCGCCGTCCCTCGCCCCGCCGGACGCCTCCCACGGGCCCCTCTTCTTCACCCCTCTCCCGCCGCCCGTCCCGCTCCTCTCCCTCCCCTTCCCCTTCCCTCCGCCCCTGCACGCCTCCACCACCGGCGACCTCCGCCACGCCCTCCGCTACTTCATCGCCTCCACCTCCTTCCTCCCCTACTCCGATCTCAAGTCCCTCTCGGGACCCCTCCTCGCCGCGCCGTCGCCGCCGTTCCCACCACCTTCCAATCTTCTCGCCGTCCTCCCCTCCCGCTCCTCAAGCTCTCTCGTCCTCTTTTTCCCGTACGGCGAGAATGCGGAGAAGATTGCTTTCGCTCTTGTGAACTCCCCCGTTGCGAGCTCTGCGCCCGTTTCGCCCTTCGTTCAGAGGGATGGGTTCAAGCACCCTGGGCACCGCATACAGCAGCTTGCTGCTATTCCTGCCCAGTCGTCCTGGTCATCGGAGCCGGATGACAGCTGTGTCGAGGGTTTCCTGCTTGCTGCGACATTGTACACAGTGAGTTGGTTCAGGGTCGAGTCACGCGATTCGGGTTCCCCGGTGCTTGTACCGGTGGCCAAGCAGGGGTTTGATGCTGCTGTCGTGCACGCGTGCTGGAGCAGGCATTTTCCGTCACAATGTGCGGTGCTGCTGGAGAGTGGGGAGTTGTGTTGGTTTGATCTGAATACACGACTTGGAGGAAAGACGAGCGTTGGTTTTGGCAGCAATGGTGAAGACTGGGGGGACTGGCTGAGCTGTGCGTATGGAGCGCAACCGTGGATGGTGATCGTCGCAAGCACAAAAGCCGTCCTTTTGGTTGATTTGAGCTTTGCATATCATGGTGACAAATACGCCGTGGAAAACGAGCCACACAAGTTTCAGTACAAGGTTCTAGCAAAAATTGGGTTGCCAGGGTTGTTTGAAACTGAGCCTTTTGACAGGACTGAGCATTATATTGCATTCTGCAAGGCTGGGTTCGATGATTCCCATATATCAGTAGTGACAGAGCGTCACTTGATTCTCCTTGATGTGACAAAGCCGTTGGAACCTGTGTTGGCTTGGCAGCATGGGCTTGAGAACCCAAATCATGTTGCCATGTTTCGGCTATCTGAATTGAGACCTTCCAAGGAATATGATTGGGCTTCAAATTCAGGTTTTGCCATTTTGGTTGGTTCGTTCTGGAATGGGGAGTTCAGTTTGTTCTGTTACGGGCCTAAGGAGCAAGGTTGTCTAGATAATTCTCATTTATACGCTTGGGATATTCCTTCGAGGCTTTCTCTGACAGGTCAGCATTGTGGCTGCAGCAATGGAATCATGAAAGAGATATTCTCAACGCCTATTTCAGTATATGATGGGTATGCTTCCCAACACCGCGCTAAGTCCATTGTTGGCTACTATGTGCTTCCAGATGACCTCTCAATATCGGAGCCAACATCTGCCAGCTTTGCCTTGATCCGGCTAACAGCACTGGGGAAGTTGGAAATGCAACAGTATCGTGCATCTCGAGGTCTGCATGATGAAATTGACACCCCATGTGATGAATCAGAACATGCATCCATGGATAGTAGTTCATCCATTTTGATTGACACTCAAGGTGAAAATGTCTCCACCAAATATCGATTCTTGAAGTTGCATTTCCTATATGAACATCTGAAGGGCAATCTATGCAGTGCGTTGGCGAAGCATGGTACTAGTGTTAACGGAGACAGAGATCAAATTATTATTAGTGAAGATGTGTTGGCATTTGCAGAGGATAACTCTAGATCCAGCTCGTTGCCAGTTTCAGATTTCCTATGTAATGCTAGCATCCCCATGAATGTTTTCGAAATTGCATGTCAGAGCATATTGAACAGTCTACCTTCAAATATTCTTCATGTCTCCCTTTCTAAATACAAGGACATGCTAAAATGCGATACAAAAGAAGGCTTAGTAGAATATTTAAAAGTTCCTAGCTGTTCGCCACACAATGAACTTCGGCCTTTCCTGTTAGCGAAACCATCAAGCACATGTGAGAAGGTGACTAGCAAAGCGGTATCTCAAAATGCTCTTGTTGGGCCAGTGCTCCCTGTGCATGTCCTACTTGCAATGGAAGAGATGAACAGGGGCATAGACAGCTCTTCGGAAAGAGAAACTGCAGAAACTGACTTAGTACGCCATCGATGTAGTGAGGTGCTTGAAGCCTTTGTTCCTGAAGTATCCATTGCTGAGTCCGACAACTTTGATGGATGGTTCTCCTCACAAAAGTTGAATGACAAGAAGTCATATCTTGTTTATGAGCCTCGGATTGAAAATAAGTTTACTCTTGATGAAACTGTTATAAAGAAGGAAAACGAAGAGCAAAATGCCGCTGATCGTACATCTTTTGAAACGTCTGCAGCACCATACAAGGATGAGAACTTCATGACATTTGTCTGTGGAAAAGCTGGAACTCTTGATTCTGGGCCTGAACAAACCACATCTGATTTGTTTGATTTCACCCCAGTGAGGATGGATTTTGCTTCCGCAGATCTAGACATTCAACCTGCCGAGGAAGAAGTGTACAGATGCTTGAAGAAACAATTTTTAAGATGGCAAAATAATTTCAAGCCATACCAAGATTTTTGTAACTCATATAAAATACAAAAGCCATCATAATGGCCTGCAGTGCTCCATTCAGTTGTAGCAGGTATTGTACATTTCCATGTGATGACATGCAAATTTTTTGAGAAAAGGACAGACTAGTACTCCCTCCGTCCCAAAATTCTTGTCTTAGATTTGTCTAGATACGGGTGTATCTAATACTAAAATGTGACTTGATACATTCGTACTTAGACAAATCTAAGACAAGAATTTTGGGACGGAGGGAGTAATATATACGCTCTCAGGTACTTGGCCTGTTATAGACATACAGTGCTGTTTGCGTATTGCAAACACTTCTTGGGAGTAAGATGCAGTGGGCGGCGCTGTAAATTATGAAGGGGTAGGATTCGAATAACTTGGTTTAAAATAGTATACTATTTTGTTAAACTTTCTGCCATGTTATTTTTGACAATGTGCATGTTAAGATACAATTTTGTAACTGACAAGGATTGCAATAGACCTCCTTTTCAATTACAGTTTTAACTTCACTTTGACTGTTAGCACAACTCATGTGACCCTGAGAAAATTTGCAGCCATCACTTTGTTCCTTTGGAGTTTGAACACATGCTTATATTCAGATACTGTGTAGCATTAACCAGGGCCATTTGGGCAAAGTTTTTTGGCTGAAATCTTAGTTTGCTATGGGCTGCAACAATAGTGGCGTGTTTGCCTGTTGAACTGTGCAGTGAAGTGTACATATTTTCTCTTGAGCAGGGACCATTGTATGTCATGATTCTGAAGCTTCATGCTGATGGATGAAAGCAAATCCAGTCACACGATGGCCTCGTGATTAATGGTATTTATGTTGTACTTTCGCATTGGGAATGCATGTTTGAGACTGTACTGCTTATATTCAGATACTGTGTAGCATTAACCAGGGCCGTAGTTAACCTGTTCTATTTTCAGTGCTCAAACATTTTCTTTTGTTTTTTACAGCACCTATTATATTGACAGGATTTGCCACCACTTGATGTTAAGCATTGGTGCATTTAACGGGAATTTCACGCACTTGATGTTAAGCATTGGTGCGCCATTTATAGACCGTGGTAATTACTGTACCCTTTCTGTACCATGCTCTAAGCATTTTGGATGCCTTATGTGATTAACTGCCCTTGTAGTATATCATGTCCCACATGGTAATTGAAATAGAAGAAATAGTAACACCATGCCCAAGTATAGTTATTTAAACTGAAACCGTGTACCATTCTGAAGTGATTTTATCCACTCAATATCGCCAGACATCTTGAGTGACAGAAGTTTTTCATTGGATTGAGTGCCCCAAAATTGTTGATTTCTATATTGCTGCGGCTGCATTCACTTTGGCCTTTTTCAGTTGTGATTCACACTTTCTAATGGTAAAGGGTAGTAAGAAAAACTAAAATAATTAGTGTGAGAAAAGAACTCGTGTTGTTAATTTAGAGGTCCTTCTCAAAGCATGGTAGTTTTGCATGTATGTATATATATGCATCTCCAAATCCTTGTTGTGGAAGTGCCAAAACACGTTACTAAAGCAGAAAAAAAATTCGGATGGTTCAAAATTGCAGGTAGCAAGGCAGCAAGAGTCCAAGCCATATTGGGGCATTACATAGGCGACAAGGAGGGAGTGTGATTGCATCAAAAGTTCAACATTTTGCTGAGTGACAACTACGAGCATTAGCGCGGGCGTTCTTTTCTTTTCTTCTTCTTTGTTGAGAGAAATCGTGTGGCAGTTGTAACCTAACCAGATACGTGCACTCATAAAAAAAAACTGTCTCACACGAGTTTTTCTTCATTTCAGTTGAGCCAAAACCTGCCATTTGGGCAAAGTTTTTTGGCTGAAATCTTAGTTTGCTATGGGCTGCAACGATAGTGGCGTGTTTGCCTGTTGAACTGTGCAGTGAAGTGTACATATTTTCTCTTGAGCAGGGACCATTGTATGTCATGATTCTGAAGCTTCATGCTGATGGATGAAAGCAAATCCAGTCACACGATGGCCTCGTGATTAATGGTATTTATGTTGTACTTTCGCATTGGGAATGCATGTTTGAGACTGTACTGCATCATGCAGACGGTCATTGTACAGAATACAGTTAGAACACTCAAATTTTGTTCTCTCTGCACTGTAAAACAACAGTTAACAAGTAGAAAATCCTTTTTGTTTATGCTATGCTAGTGAACTGCCAATCACCATGGCTTCTGATCTGGGTGTAGAGCTGTTTATGTCTTCTCTCTTTTTTCATCACTTGTTGAACAATGAAGAAATTGTATTCATCTCCAAACATTCAGGCCATACAAGAAATTCAAATAATTGTAGTTCACAACAATAACATTTGCAAAATTGCGAGAGCGTAATGAAATGGGGTACATAATCTTTAACATCTAGAACACAAGCAACTTTATTCAAGTTGTTCCTGAGAGCTCTACAGATCCCCCTAAACAGACCACTGGAATAAGGAGCACAAAAAGAACAACACGGGGAGTTGAATGGACCACGATCAAGAGACTGGCATGCACTCTCATTGACCAGCTCAGGCCTTAGGGTTGCGGGATGACGAAACTTTCTGGTCTACAGGGTTGCCGCTTCCAACCAAGTCTCTATAGCGTTGCTCCCAGTCATCCAGCTTCCCGTTCGAAATGTCAGAATGAATAGCCCTTCGGATTCCTTTTACCACAAAAAAGTACTGAAGAAGAGCATGAAGGATTAATCAGAAAGTTATGTTTATATACAAAGATATGCCAAGTTTATGCTGTGAATTTTACTATTATTATCATGTGGAGAAGCTAACCTGCACGGCAAGGATGAGAGGTATGTACTTCTTCCAGCGATTGTTGGGATTTGGACCGTCGATTAACTTCTGATCAACATGAATGGACTTGCTCCCATTTGAGACAACGATAGTAATTTCTTTCATCAAGTTTGGAATCCATGGAGTTCCATCAGGAAGAATCTGCACAGTTATATGACATCCTCAATTAAAAATCAAGCAGCTAGGCAGAAGCAAATGCAAGTCAAATACAGTGTGAAACCTACAAACCTTCGCCCCATTCTCATTAGTCTTGCACCTTCCACTGTTCTCTGCCAAAGCTATTGGCAAGGGAAAATCCTAAAAGAAACAGAACATAGTGCTTTTCGTTAGAACTAATATTCATATCACATACACTGAAGACAAAGGCCCCATAAGTACGACCGTTTATCTACAGTCTCTATCATATACTGACAAATCTAATTGAGATGTTATGAAGTAGCTCGTAATGACAAGGTTCGGTTTCATAATGTACCAGCACATGGTAGCACTTGAAGCTACAGAGAAGCTCAAGAAATTGATCATGCAGAAAAGGATCAAGATCAAACCGAAAGAGGATGGAGAAGAGACGGTTTTTCATATAATAGCTAGTATTCATTCTAGGCACCCAGGGCGAAGAGCGCCAAAAAATATCAACCGAAACAACTTGGAAGTATTTCCGCAGAAATATGTTCATGAGAAGCAGCAGGACTGTAGTTTAGGCAGAGGAAGCTTCACAAAATCTCAAAGAAGTTGACAGTGTGCTGATACTCCATTAAATAAGATGGAAATGATTGCATAGCAAGTGAATATGTACATTACCGCATATTCTCGTTTGCCGATTCCTGCACCAGAACGGATATATCGCAGAAGCGACTCTGATCTTCTTGCAAGGAAATCATTATAGTCAATTCCATCAGGAGGAGACAGCTGGGCATGGGTCAATACAACCAATGTTCTTCTCCAAATGGCCTTCCCTAATGAATTAGTAATGGCTCTTATAACTTGTTCATCCAATGTATCCATTCTATATGTATCCAAGCGATCGACGTACAGGAGGACATCAATAGTCTTCTCCAGAAGAAACCTGCAATACCATTGATAACATTTAAGAAACAAGCATAGCAATAAATATTATGATATACAGATTGTATGACAACAGTGGGCAATTATAAAAGCAGCACAAACTTTTCTATAGATGCCAATTCAGTACTGCAATCTCAACAACCTTTGCTGTGATTACAACTGCTAAAAAATAAAATATGGTTCTCCAGAAAGGGAAAATTAATCCAAGGCAAAATTGAGAAAGTTGAGACAAATATGATAAATAAGCACACGCCCCATTGCATTTTAACCTCGTTAGTATGCAAAAAAATTAAAGTCCAAGGGGAAACCCCAATTATGATATCCAAATTGATAGGTCAATTGTGCAGATGCACCCACTACAGTGTAAGGTAACTCAACCACTATGTATCACATCAAGCGCTTAAGGTGGGGTGACCACCAGCTGACTACTATACACCATTGCCAGCATAAAATTAACATATATGCATAGACTATTAGAGTTGAGCGCTTTTAGAGAAATAATGGACTTTAATAGAATATATAAATTACGGTCCTGTATGCTACATTAGGAACAGGATTATCACAAATCACAAAATTATTAAACCAGTAATGATTTAACGACAGCAACAGAAAAGATGGGGCAGCTCTGTTCAGGAACACAAGATTTATGTATAAACAGAAATGCAGATGTCTCTTCTTTTATTTTTATTTATGTACTTAAACTCTACATCTCTACCCATGCAGACCAATGGAAGAAATTGATATGTTGATGTAGAACCCAAGCATTCACCATCTTTTAAGTACACCCTCTGTAAACTAATATAAGAGCGTTTAGATCACTAAATTAGTGATCTAAAGTCTAAACGCTCTTATATTAGTTTACGGAGGGAGTACATACTAGCAATATGCTACTTCAGATCAATGTGATTGCTATGCACAACAAACTGATTGACCTAGAATCTAGTCCTATATTGACCACCATGGGAAAAAAGACTCGTAAAGTCTAGATACCATCCCAGGATCAGCATTTGAGCAATGCAGTAATTCATACTGAAGGAATTTTCGAAATGTGTGAGCAAAATGATCTTGCCAGTTGACAAAACAAATAAAACATCAAATTCAGAGCAACATGATGAAATAATCTACTCATGTCCCTAAGTCAAAAATGACAATCCTCATCCAAAGCCCTATATTACAAGTCACAGTATCTACAATCAATTGCTAACTTGCAAACAAGCATGGTTACCACCCAACATGGACATACCTCTTTATGATTTCGACAGCCTGCTCATTGATATACCCACCTTCAATGAGCCCAGGAGTGTCGATAATGTTCAAGGTGAATCCTGCCCTGGTGCGGGAGCACATCATTGGCCTCAGACCCTCAGACTGCATAGAAACAACATACGACAACGCACTCACGTGAGTAACCCACAAAGAGGCACAAACAGAGACAGGGCCAGGAAGAAGTGAGACCTGGAACGCACTGACGTTCGCGACCCTCTCCCCGACAATGGAGTTGACAGTGGATGACTTCCCCACACCGCCCTTCCCCATCACCAGAATCGTCAATGTGCTCACATTCTAACATCACAACATAAGCAAAACATACAATTTGCCATCAGTTCGTCACAACTCACAATCACAGACACAATTAGAACCTAGCCATGGATAATTTAATCAGCTGGTCCAGGCAAGGGGCGTTAAATAGGCGTGCAATACCTCCTCCTTGAGCTTGCCGAGGAGCTCGTGCAGCTTGGTCTGGGTGGCCGCCGGGAACTGCTGCAGACCAACCCACTCACGGGGTATCGGCGCCGCCATCACTGCCCGTTCCTCCTTTCCCCTGACACACGAACGCGCCGACACAAATCAGAAACATTAACCCAAATTGGTCAAGGCGCGCGGCGGCGGCGGCGGCGGCGGCTGCGGCGAGAGTGCGCGGCCGGACTGAGCTGGTAGGTGGAGGGGATGCTTACCGGGCGATACGGAGGCCGACGGGGCGGGCGGTTAAACCCTAGACTCGGCGGAGGTGCTCGGAGACGGGGAGGAGGACTCGGCGGAGGGGGTTTATGAGAAGGGAGGAGATAAGGAGAGAGATGGAGATGGGGACTCTCTCCTTCTTCTGTTTTGTTCATCTTTTCTTTTGGGGTCTTTTTTGCCTTTTTGCTTTTCTCTGTGGACTAACGGGCTGGGCCTGGGGCGCTTGTTCTTTGGGCTGGTTTTATGTAGGCCTACGAGAAAAGTAATTTCCTCTCGACAAATAAAAAAGTAATTATCCCTGAATAATACAATTTTTGGATGGATAGAACCCTTATTCCTTAAAATTTTACAGTTTTGTTAAATCTAAGAGTGTCTCATGTCTAAGTTGACACGCTGATTATGGAGAAGGTTTTGCTGCGAATGGGGTTTAGACCCAACTGGGTTGCACTGATTATGAAGTGTGTCAAATCTGTTAGGTACCAAATTCGTGTGAATAATACTTTGTCTGATTATTTTATTCCTTCCAGAGGACTCAGAAAGGGGGACCCGATCTCACCATATTTATTCTTGCTCTCTGCTGAGGGTCTCTCTAGTCTGATTGTGCATGAAGAGGAGACTGGTAATTTGATTAGAGTTCGGGTGTGCCGAGACGCCCCCTCATTTACACACCTACTGTTCGCCGATGACTCCCTGATCCTTATGAGGGCGGATGCTGCTAATGCGAATAGTCTTAGGAGAGCATTAGATGACTATTGTGTTGCCTCCGGGTAGCTGGTGAGTGACGCTAAACCGAGTATCTTTTTCAGCCCTTGTACCCCAGTGGAAACTCGTGTGGAGATATGCACATCTCTAAACATTTTAGTGGAGGCAATCACGGACAAATATTTGGGGCGGCCACCAATTGTGGGAATTGACAATTCAGATTGTTTTCAGCACCTAATTGAGTCCTTAGCAGAATCAGGGGATGGAAGGACAAGTTGTTATCTATGGGTGGTAGGGAGGTTTTGTTGAAGGCAGTGATTCATGGCATTCCGTCATATGCTATGTCAGTCTTTAAACTACCCAAACAGGTTTGCAACAGTATCACCGCTGCTATGTCTAAATATTGGTGGGGCGATGATGATCTTAAAAAACATATGCGCTGATTTGCATGGTGGAAAATATGTGTCCTGGAAGAGAGGGGAGGTATGGCACTTCTAGCTAAACAATGTTGGAGACTTTTGGCTGAACCAAAATCACTTTGTGCTAGAGTTTTGAAAGCCAAGTACTTCTCTGATGGCGACCTTCTTAACTGCAATCTTAAGAAGGGTAGTTCTTACACATGGCAGGGTCCATGGAGTGGAATTCAAACTTTTAAAAAACGGCATATATCGAGGGTAGGGGACGGCTCTCCAATAAACATATGGGAGGATCCATGAATCCCAAGTAGTCCTACAAGGAGAGTAATGACACCGAGAGGCAATATTGTTATCACAAGAGTTTCTGAATTAATAGATGAAGAGAATAGAGTTTGGGATGAGCAGTTGCTTAATGAATTGTTTTGGCCTATTGATGTGCAAAGTATTCTGAACATTCCCTTGGCCCTGGGAATGATGAGTGATTTTGTCTCTTGGCACGTCAATAAGAATGGTATTTTCTCTGTAAGGTCAGCTTATTATGAAGAATGGGAACACCAGCACGGACGAAAGTTGAGAATGACAAACTCAGTTCAATCCTCAAGTACTAGTCCTATTTGGAGAACCATTTGGAAATTATGTGTGCCTGCCAAGATAAAAATTCATGTGTGGAGAGCTTTACTTGGAGCTATCCCTTGCATGGGGGTTCTAGCTAACAGACATATGATTACTAGCTCGCAGTGTCCTCTCTGTACTGCTGATTGTGAAAGTATCAAACATGCCCTCTTCTTATGCCCTAGGGTTCCGGAAGTGTGGTGCATCCTGGGGCTGGGGAGATATGGTAATTGAAGTATGTGTTGCTGCAGATTGTGAAGGAGGCTCGGCGCTAGCTGATTTATTTTTATCCAGGAGCATTTTGCATCCTTCGATGTCAGGGGTCCAACGTAATGAACTAGTGGCCACTACTGTGTGGTACGTGTGGTGGGAACGACGTCGCTACGTTCATGAGGATCTCCTACAAGACCCAGCCAGATCAGCACAGGCCATTGCTGCATTAGCAAAGAATTTCATGAGAGCAAGAGAAAAGAAGGCGAGGATTAGGAGACATGGCTGGGAGAAGCCACCTGAAGGCACTGTGAAACTTAATATAGATGATGGTTTTGATCTGGATAGTGGCTCGAGGAGTACAGGGGCAATATTACGTGATGACATGGGAATTTTCATGGCTGCTTCATGCGGTGATATTTCCTTTGTGGAGGACGTGACGACGGCGGAAGCAAGGGCCCTGAGAGATGGGCTGCTGCTAGCAAATGACCTGGGATGCAACAAACTATACGTCGAAGCGAATTGCATGGAGGTGATTGAGGTTATGCAGAGCGGTGGGAACTCCCTCGGACCGACGGCGGCCATATTTGAAGAGTGCTCTTTCTTAGCTCGTAATTTTAGTTTTATAGTATTTAATCATTGTCCTAGGGAAGCCAATATGGCGGTAGATGTATTGGCTAGGAACTCGGAGACATCTCGAACTATTGTTTGGAAGACCGAGCCTACAGGGTTTCTAGTGAATGTTTTATCGAACAATGTATCCTTGTTTTCACATGAAATATAAACCGTCATGATGGCTTTTGATGACCCACAAGTATAGGGGATCTATCGTAGTCCTTTTGATAAGTAAGAGTGTCAAACCCAATGAGGAGCAGAAGGAAATGATAAGCGGTTTTCAGCAAGGTATTCTCTGCAAGCATTGAAATAATAGGTAACAGATAGTTTTGTGATAGGATAATTTGTAACGAGTAACAAGTAACAAAAGTAAATAAAGTGCAGCAAGGTGGCCCAATCCTTTTTGTAGCAAAGGACAAACCTGGACAAACTCTTATATGAGAAAAGCGCTCCCGAGGACACATGGGAATATCGTCAAGCTAGTTTTCATCACGTTCATATGATTCGTGTTCGGTACTTTGATAATTTGGTATGTGGGTGGACCGGTGCTTGGGTGATGTCCTTACTTGGACAAGCATCCCACTTATGATTAACCTCTATTGCAAGCATCCGCAATTACAACAAAAGTATTAAGATAAACCTAACCATAGCATGAAACATATGGATCCAAATCAGCCCCTTACGAAGCAACGCATAAACTAGGGTTTGAGCTTCTGTCACTCTAGCAACCCATCATCTACTTATTACTTCCCAATGCCTTCCTCTAGGCCCAAATAATGGTGAAGTGTCATGTAGTCGACGTTCACATAACACCACTAGAGGAGAGACAACATACATCTCCTCAAAATATCGAACGAATACCAAATTCACATGACTACTAATAGCAAGACTTCTCCCATGTCTTCGGAAACAAACGTAACTGCTCACAAAGCATATTCATCTTCATAATCAGAGGGGTGTTAATATGCATATAGGATCTGAACATATGATCTTCCAGCAAATAAACCAACTAGCATCAACTACAAGGAGTAATCAACACTACTAGCAACCCACAGGTACCAATCCCAGACTTGGAGACAAGAATTGGATACAAGAGATGAACTAGGGTTTGAGAGGAGATGGTGATGGTGAAGATCTTGATGGAGATTGACCCCCTCCCGATGAGATGATCGTTGGTGATGACGATGGCGATGATTTCCCCCTCCCAAAGGGAAGTTTCCCCGGCAGAACAGCTCCGCCAGAGCCCTAGATTGGTTCCGCCAAGGTTCCGCCTCGTGGCGGCGGAGTCTCGTCCGGAAAGATGGCTTATGATTTTTTCCTCATCGAAAGACTCCATATAGCAGAAGATGGTCATCGGAGGGCCACCAGGGGGGCCACGAGGTAGGGGGTCGCGCCTAGGGGGATAGGGCGCGCCCCCCACCCTCGTGGGCAGGGGGTGCCCCCCTGGTGAACTTCTTGCGCTTAGTATTTTTTATATATTCTGAAAATGACTTCCGTGAAGTTTCAGGACTTTTGGAGCTGTGTAGAATAGGTCTCTAATATTTGCTCCTTTTCCAGCCTAGAATCCCAGTTGCCGGCATTCTCCCTCTTTATGTAAAGTTGTAAACCTTGTAAAATAAGAGAGAATAGGCATAAGTATTGTGACATAATGTGTAATAACAGCCCATAATGCAATAAATATCGATATAAAAGCATGATGCAAAATGGACATATCAACTCCCCCAAGCTTAGACCTTGCTTGTCCTCAAGCGAAAGCCGAAATCAAAAAATATGTCCACATGTTTAGAGATAGAGGTGTCGATAAAAATAAAATACGGACATGAGGGCATCATGATCATTCTTAGAACATCAAGTTATATAATTCTTGTCATATGATCTCTTATGCTAGAGTAACAATTCAATCACAATTTCAAGTATGAATCATAAACTTCATTGAAAACTAACAAACTATAATCGCGATCATTGGAGCAATTGCAATTTATCATAACATAGGAAAGAGTCAATATAAGAGCTTTTCAGCAAGTCCACATACTCAACTATCATATAGTCTTTCACAATTGCTAACACTCACGCAATACTTATGGGTATGGAGTTTTAATCGGACACAGAGAAAGATAGGGGCTTATAGTTTTGCCTCCCAATGTTTTACCTCAAGGTTAATGTCAACAATAATAGTTCATGAAAACTCACATCCAATTAGCCATATATACCAGGATCTTTCCAACATGTTGTGCTTGCCAAAAGATAAAATTTAAAAAAGGAAGGGTGAAGATCACCATGACTCTT